GAAATGTCAGTCACTCCTTCCTGTATGGGCTACAGGTGACAGCATTAATTTGCCTCTTGGCTTAGACTGTAGATTTAATTAGGCACATGCTGGAGTATTGATGTCCAGTATAGTCAATGGTAAAAGCAAATGCCCTATATACAGGGAGTGAATTTGTTTCCTTTTCAACCTTCATTTTATATACTACATTCGTCATGTTAACTTAAAATTGACCATGGATGAAACATAAATGTGTAAATTATATTTGAAGAGTTCAGGAAAAATAACAACGATCTTTGCCCTGTCTCTCTTCCCTCCCTGCAGCCCTGTCAGCAGTCTGACCCCCAGCTCGGGGACGTCAGAAGACCTGGACCATCAGGAGATCCAGCTGGCCATGCAAGATGCCAAGATGGCTGCCAGGAACAAGATCCGATCACGCTTCCACAGCAGCAGCGACCTCATCCACCGTCTCTTTGTTTGCATATCAGGTAAAAGCTCTCACTCTTTATACATCGCTCTCCCTCCTTCTTTTTGTCTTCCCCGTGCTGATATCCATTTTGTGTTGCAGGTGTTGCTGATCAGCTGCAGACCAACTATGCTAGTGACCTTCGCAGCATCCTCAAGACTCTGTTTGAAGTTATGGCAACCAAGTGTGAGCAGGGTGACAACGACAAGCAAAAGAAAGGTGAGGAACACCCAGATGCTGTACACAAACTTCTTTGGCTCTGTTGCTCAAAATATAAAATGTGCTTGTAAAGATTATTCTTCTGTAAACTTTACGTTCATTGTTATTGTTGTTGTTGGATATGATGGATATTTTTATAATAGCAATGTATTAAATCACAATATGAAACGGACGCCTCCTCACATGCCTCATGCCTCAGCTAGTCTCCATCAGAGTGTCTCTAACTGTCAACAATCAGTCACACACTACACCAGTTTTAGTCTCTTCTTCTATGGTCTCCAGCAGGTCCTGTTCTGCGTAGTGCAGTGTTGGAGGACTGTGCTCTCTGTCAGGAGACCATATCTTCTTCGGAATTGGCAGCTAAGGCCCGGGAGGGCCAGTTCGAAGGTCAGGAAATCCACAAACAGACTCACTCAAAGTTTAGTTGAAATGTCAGCCTGTTCCTTTCCCTGCACTGATGTCCAGACAGGCCTGCTTTGTGTTAACTGTTTCTCGTTGGCTCCGTGTAGACCCTCCAGACTGGGTGCCTGATGAAGCCTGCAACTCCTGCATTGCCTGCAAGGCTCCCTTCACTGTCATTCGCAGGAAGCATCACTGTAGAAGCTGTGGAAAGGTACGTTGACTGAGGGGGCAGCCAGGTGGCAGAATTCTTCATTTAATGTGTAGTTGATCAAACTGATCACATTGTGCGTCGTCATCATATGGATAATAACTGATACATTACATGTGTCATTTCAGATCTTCTGCTCTCGCTGCTCCTCCCATTCTGCTCCTTTGCCCAGATATGGTCAGGTGAAGCCCGTCAGGGTGTGCACACACTGTTACATGTTTCATGTCACGCCCTTCTACAGCGACAAGGCCGGCATCTGACCCCAGATCATCACCGAAAGCACACAGTCCACCACAACAAGAGCATATGCAACAGACAGATCCACAGCTGTGTACAAAGCAAAAGCCACACTGCTCTGGTTTAACTGAATGGTCGTCATCAAACCTGCTCAACAAGGCTTCAGAGTAAGGCCATTTCAGATGACAGAGCAGAGAGATGAGACACACACAGCCACAAGTGATGATTCGCCCTGTTTCTGTTGCTTCGGAGAGACTATTGCATCACTGGGAACCAAAGGGTTTGATTTCAGTGCCCAGCCAACACACACAAATTCACGAATGCCTGTCTGACTGAAGAGGTGCAAAAGGGAGAGGGGATAAACAGGCAATAACAGATTTTGAACTGGCATTGTGCAACAGTCCTCTGTAGCAGTTTGCAGCACAAAATCAGTTGCTTTAGGTGTAAATGAAAGGACTTGTGACATATTTTCTTATGCTTTAGCGAGCTTCCTACATTTGTGCCAGAGCTCCCACGGGACTCGGATTACTCAAAAGAATGTAAGTCATGATAACCATGTAAATAAGGAAAATTCTGGTAATAGCTACACTACAATGTCAACAGTAAACGGTTGCTGTTTATATGGGAACTGGAAAGCAATCTCCACCCGGCTACCGGTCCCAGTAAAGCAAAAATGAAAAACTGACAGCTTTTATATTGAGATTCCTTCAATGGCAATGAATGTGTAATTGTGTAAATCACTTTGTGACATAGGGTCTCGGTACCAACAGGTTTGACCCACCTCTTTATGGCAATGGGCTGTGCCCCTTGCTTTTACAGTTGCACCATGGCATGTTTAGTCTTCTCTGGGACTCCGCTGCACACTGAGATGGATAAAAGGGATTCCTTAGTCATCACTGTCAGGTCTTGAAGGCCCCCTAGTGGAGAGTTGACCTCTCTTCGCTCAGTGCTCTCATCACCATGTTGTGAACAATTTGTTCTGAACCAGAGGCCTTCTCAGGTGCTGGCCTACAGACTACAGGCCGATTATTGCCCATTGATTTCTATTCCTCACTCTTGATTCAGTGCAATATTGTGACTACTACCTGCAATGGTCTTGCACATTTTAGAGACAACCCTTTGCTATTTAGATTGTAGTTCTAGGCCATTTATTAAGAGAAGATTGATTGGGATTTACACTAAATTATTTCCACTTTTGGCTCTGGTGGTACTGTTGGACAGGAACAAATGTTTTGTTCCCAGACTGACATCATTTGCTCCTGACTTCCTTTCTGCTCTTAAATCTGCTTCCATTGCAATGACGGCATACACAGTATCTTCCATGCTCATTATATATATATTACAGTTTGAACATCTGAGTGGTCTGAAGTGGCCCATTTACAAATATGGACCTTTGAGCGACATTGATGGACTATCACATTATGTCCATTCTGCTCTGATGTAAAGCAGTTTCTCAGGCATTACATAATCAAAATCACTCACCTACTGTTGGATCAATCCTATTTTCATCAAAGAACATATAGACTCACTTTGCAAAGGTATGTTTTTTTTCTTTTATAAAGAACAAAAATAATGTATGAAGCTATAATTACTTTTATGTAAAATACAAGGAATCATGCAGTAATGAAAGGGCGGGATATCCTATTATTGTTTCAGAGCTTTGTCTTATTTTGTAAAATTCCAGGACATTTCCATGATAAGAGCTGTGTGAAATATTCAACAAACAAATAATGTTATATAGTTTTAAATGCGATGTATATTGAAATAAATTACTTTTTCCTCTTTAAAAATGTCTCCTGATCACTTCTCTTTACTTTTACAGCTAAGTATTATTGAGTTTCTGCTTTGAAATGCCTTGCAGCCTTTAATTTATAATGCCATACTGATGTACAGCTCCACAGGCTATGAATTTAAGACAGAACACTGAGATGGTTCAAACTTTTAATAGTTCAGTATCTTTTTTACAACCCTTTTTATTGGGGTTTTCAGAGTCAAACACACAGTTGGAAACAGGAACACTTTTGTGTAAGTATAAAGAAATAAAAAATACAATAAGATCATAATAAATAGAGGCTATGGGAAAGGGTTAGTGTGCTGTTATTGAAGTGGTCTATCAAGGGTTGCCAGATCTGGTAGAATAATTAGTTAAGTATCTTTCTGATTTGAATAATGACTGACTGAATACTCTCCAAAGATGTTCATTTACAGCTTGGGGCTATTTTAGTTACCATTTGTCAGCTTTTCCTGCCACTTGAGTAGGCAGTGTGGGCCTAGTCATCAGATGAGCAACACCCTGCTTAGTTGAATTTCTGAGTTTTGTGGAGAGTTGCGGTGACGCATTATTAGAGCTTCAGATCCCACGTAAACCCGCAGAAAGATCAGCTTGCTTGTCATGAAAATCTACTGAAAATGGATGTGAAATGTCGTCTGTGGCTCTGGAGGAAGCTTTCTAAAGAAACCTTGTTTTATCTTAATAGGAGTTTTAGAAAGTTTGTGTTTCAAAATGAGGGCATAGAATTTCAAAGATGTGGATCTTTACCAGACATGGAGGATCTAATTAAACTGCTACTGGGTTGCCTCATGGGAAGCTTTCTTGAGGCAGACTAGAAACTATAAGTCATGATATCTCAGCTTCGGCTGCTTTGAATTTGAATTAGTTTTAACCAATCTCTTGGAAATACCACAACTTTTATAGGACTGTAATGGAAGAGTGCTGCAATAACCCTCTAAAAAATACATGGGTAACCCTCAATAGTTGCTGTGTATGTGACTTATTAACGTGCTTTATTCCCTACAACATACAAAAAAGTGCTTATGTCACAGGTATAGCTGTCAGTGCTGGATTAGAGGCAAATGTCAGCTACACAGCATACACCTATAACATATGAGTAAAACTGTATTTATAGTGTGGTAAGTTATTGTAGGAGGTGAGCTGGTCAACAAAGGGACCACTGGGTGGCAGCACTTGTTCACGGTGTGGCATTAAAATGGTATTTATCAGCCACACAACAGGGAGATACAGAACTGAACCTTATATTTTAATTTATTTACCCTTAAATACCAAACTTGTTATATTCCAGACGTTGAGTGGCAATTTACTACTTGTGAAGTTAATACTTTAATAATAATGTGGGGATTTGAGTCTGTGATGCCCAACAGTAAGTTAATAAGTAGTTTGTTAAAAGTTTGTTTTAATCTCATATAGGAGAATAGCAGTAAAGTATTCTAATAACACCCTTTTAATACATCCACAAGGAGTTAATTTAACAGTAATATTTTGCACTGTATTCTTGATTCGGACTGTGCAGCTGTTATCAGTTTTCTCATACATTAAGTTGACAGCGGTGAGATAATGGCTTTGTGATGAAGAGGTTTGTGTGGGTGAGAGATAAAGAGTTAAACGTGTCCGGCCTCTGCAGGCTGTGATTGGCCCGCAGCTGCAGCTCTGGGACGGACAACAAGTCTCCGCTCCGTGCGCACTGGAAAAGTCACTTGGTGGACGAAGCGGACTACACGGACTGGACTGGAGTTTTTTTTTTTTTTTAAATAAAAAGAAAATTAGCATATGGGAGTTTTTATTGTGGTTCATGGAAGAGTCCGGTTTTATTACAGCCTTGAATCCGTTATTGTATCCCAGAGTCGAGCGTGTGCTGGTCCGTTAGAGGTCGGTGAAAAGTCGACCGCTGTCACTTTTGATTCATGGACTCAACACGGACTTTAGCTAAAAGCATTTCTGTCAAGAGGCTGACACAAGGTTGACTTCATTCATTGAATATCCAGGTATGTTGTCGGCCTATTTATTCTGGCATTTCCTCCATTTTGTTTAAAATTGTTCCTGTTTGTTTGCTTTCTTACCAAAGCTGCCAGTGAGCAGCATCAGGGATACTTCACTATAAATGCAGCAAAGATAAACAGGCGAAAACCACACATTTTTATCAACTGTTTGCTGTTCAAACCTCGGTTAGCTATGTGAGTATTAGCCGACATACACATAACTGTGCTATTACATAAACTAGAACTTCCTAAACTTTCCAAGGACCCTAAAAGTCTGTGAAACCAAATGTAAAGCGCCAAACCTGAGTGTGTGACTGTACTTGGACTGAATATTTACTTACTCACATTATGTGATAGTGCTAACTTTCAATACAGCTAATGTATTGTTATACAATATATATTGATTTATTTTGTTATATTTACCTTTTATTGTCTTTTACTTCATTTTAGACCCTCCAACAAACCCAAAAATGTCCCAGGAGTCTAGTTTTACAAAGAAAACTAACCAGAAAAAGTAATTGAGTGACTTTAAAACTCATTTGCAAATAATAGTAGAATCATTGATTACTTTGTGTTTAATATGTTATATTTTATATTAGAAAGTAAATTGGCTTAAACAACAACACTTATGTTTCTAAATCCTCTGATGGCCCCATTCTTTGATTATAGATTGGTGTATTTACCCTGTGTCACTGTGACCCTGTGTGTTTCAGATTTAGAGAACATGAAGTTGTCTCTGGACAGTATGGGCCTCCTGAAGATTGTGCTGTTCGTCTTTAAGGCTGTTTTACTAACCGACTGTGCACGAGGTGAGAGCTGCTCCATAAATGTTTCTCACTTTCTGACTGATATTGCGTGTTTTGAACCTGGATGGTAACGCCAGATCATTATAACTCAAGTTGACTGGCTGGTTTCTTGTGAGCATGAAGAAAATCTCAGTTGGCTCTTAACATTTTCACACCGAGGAGTAAGAGACGGAAAACTAAGAACTAAAAAATCTCTAAAGGCAGCCCAAAATCAACACAGGGCAGGGGAATGAGAGAGGGCAAGCCAACCCCTACCCCCAGTTTGTGTGTGTTTCAGTCGTGAACGTGTAAGTGTGTGTGTGTGTGTGTGCACATTCACTACAGCTAAACCAAACAAACATCATCCATCAGCTTCCCAGGGTGAAAGAACACAAGTCAGTGTAAGAGTCCAGCTCTCCCGCAGGCTGGCCAAGGGACTGCCTCACATCAGCCTGTGTGTCTGCGTGTGTGTGTGTGTTTATACGTGCGTTCATGACCGAAACACTGAGTGGAGAGTGGGAGACCTCAGTCTGACCACAATTCACTGTAGTGTTTATTGTGCCAGCATCAATACTTTGCTTTATAAAGACAACTTACAGTGAGCTTGTCAACAGGTCATGAATAAATGTCGAGGCAATTTCTATGATTTCATCCACCATCACTGACTACTGAACCATGTCTGATGCAATCCAGTGCCGTGAGTCAAAGACCGAGGCCAAACTTGAAACTTCACTCTGGCTTTAATGAGAGAAATTTGAAAGCCAGACACATTTCCCCGGAAGACCACGCACTGGCAAAACAAGCAGGCTCCATAGCACTCTCTTTATTCTCCAGCTCAGCGTGGAAGTAAATTCAAGAGGCGTCTGATAGGTACAATACCTGCATGTGGCTATCAGGGCTCGAGGTAGAGGGGGCAGGAGGGGGCTGGCGGTGGTTTAGAGGGGGGAGATTAGATCTGTGGGTCTGCAGACAATGCTTCATTCACAGCGTGGCAGCCGTGCCTTCACGGCACGACTAAACCAAAAGTAAACAAGACGTGAAGGCTAAATAAGATTAGACAGGCAATTTTGTATGTTTACAGATTAACAGATGTCAGTGAAGGAGAAACCCAAAGGAGAATCCGATGGGGTTGGTGGAGAGTTGAAGGTCCGATGGGTCTGAACTGATTTTCGTGTCAGACAAAAAAGGGAGAATTTACAGCCTGTTTTTCATAATTTGTCTGAAAGTGGTAACAGATGCACCAACAGATAGACGCATCAGCAGACATGTAGTTGGCAGGCAGGCAGATGATTTTGAATGGTGCTTGACAATCTGTAAAGTGTAAATATCCCACAGTTCTCCCAGCACAAGCAGAGATACAGTAAGTTCTGTGTTACAGTCCAAATGCAACAGCTTGACTCTGACATGCTGTGAAATACAGGCAGGGGTTTTGACTTGATGCTTGTGCTTTTATAGTGAAGCCAGGGCCAGAAAAGCTGTAAAACTGTCCCTGTAAAATTTAACAATGTAGATGACATGTTTGACAAATGAAATTATAAAGGACAGGCCCCCTTTGACGTATGTGTGAAACAGGAAAAACACATTGGAAGTGTTACTTTACTGCTGTTGTCTAAACATTTCAAACAATGCATCTGAGAAGACAGTAAGTTTGGGTGAATGATTTTAAGCCTGTTGCCGTCAGTCATCAAGCGACATCTGACCCCCAGACCCCTGCCCTTGTACCACACACACAGACACACACACACACACACATGGACCCTCTCTCCCTTCACTGCTACGACTTTGCGACTGGCCAAGCAAGAATTATTTCTCAAGACCCCCCCCCACCCCTCTCCCAGGAACCCCCACACTTCCTCGTCCCAGCGCCTTCTTTCCTCCCCCTTTGGTGCTCCGCCACCCCCAGCAGCTGGAGGAGGTGCTCAGTGATGTGTCCCAGCAGAGCCTCTAATGTGGTGACAGGCCCGGGGACCACTGGGCTCCACTAACTGAGGAATGCAGCAGCCCTGGACATATGGATCTGCAGAAATGCACCCTGGGAGAAACAGAGAGGCACCAGGTGTCTTTTTGATGCATTTTAATTAGAAACAGGCATCAAATACAGTTGCGTCTTTTTTTGTATTCCTGATTTCTAACGCCACACATCTTTGCTTCACCTCTGGAGGCATCTGGTGAAGTTTAGAGCATGCAAACTGCTCTACAACCCCGTTGGAAAATATACATTTTATAGCAGAGTTACATCATGGTTTCATAACAAGAAGGTACTATGAGATACATTGTATGCCAAGGGCTTTTAAAATCACAAGGCCATTTGGCTCCCAGACAGTTTTCCATTTCCTTTAACCGTAATGAGGCTAGTTTCTCAGTAACCAAATGCCCCAAAGTCCTCTTATTTTTTAAATAGCTCCTGAATAGTAAGAAGGTGTAACAGTGGTGTTCTGGCTCATGGGCCAAGCTGGTGAGACTGGGGACGGGAAGAAAAGGAGAAAGAATTGCGCTGAAAAGGCTCGGCTGTGCTGCTGTGTACCATGTGTTTTGCAATACTCGCCCAATTCGCACTTTAATGCTCCATTTAGGTATTAGAAATAAAATCAGCTTCATGTTACATTTTGTTTTTCAGCCAACACCAAACAGTGGAACGTGAGGGAAGTTAAACATTTCCTCATCCTTAGCTCTAATCTGTGCGACCGTTCAATGCTTCACCTCCAATTATCTGGGTTTTCCAAAACCAGACGACCAACACTACCTGCCACCCTTCTGACACATGTCCCCCTTCTTTCTCCCTGCTTCTCTTTGCATTTCCTCCCATTTATTACCAGTATAAAGTTGAAGGAAGTGAGTTAAGTTAATGTGCTGTCGTTAAAACAAGGCATGAGCTGACCTTTACTCCTACCCAGCCTTTCTCAACTCTCCATAGCCCCTATTTACTGAGTCTGGGTCCATTTGCGGAGAACAATGGATGGATTATTACATGTGGCGGTCCCCCAGGTTGGACAAGGGCAGCAGTGATTAATTTTAAACACTCCTCATCCCTGTAGACCGGACTTATTTGCCATCTATTAGAACTCGCAGCAGACGGGGGACTCACTTTACTGAGGCGCTGCCATTTAGAGGTGCGTGAGAAGAAGTTACGAGAGCGAATGCTGCTTTCGTGAGTCTGAATATATGCATGTGTTTTATTAAGCAGGCTGAAATTACCCTGAGAAAAGTCATGATAATGAGACATCCAAGGAGCACAGGGCAATTTGGAAAACCTCAGAGGTATACCAACAACTATTCCCGCTCCACCTCCCTCTCCTCCAAACCAGGTGGAAATAATATTCCTCCCGCTACGATCCCTCTGTTTCTATCACGGAAATAATGTTACCACCACTATAACAATCCGTGTTCCCCATCTATCAGCACACACCGCTGACCCTGTCAGTTTAGGAGGAAGCATTCGGAGAGAGGAATGTGTCAGACTTCACCCCTGCAAGACGAAAGAAAGGAAAGGGCTGTAGCTGTGATAAGTAGCCATAATGGAGGTCAGTTGGTGTTTACTTTAGCAGGGTCATATAATCCCTGTGAGCAACACTCCCCTCATTGACTGACTTTAATGGTCACTTCAATTAGCATTCATGTGGAATTTCAACAAGGCATTGTCCGCTTTCAGTGTTTGTCACTTTCAGCTGTATGCTAATGCCGAGACGCACATGAGAAGAATTTTGTTTAGCTTTTTTTTTAAAATAAAATCGGACCGATTCATACAAAGATCTGTGTGTGTACAATGCTCATTAGTTTGTTTGGGCAGTTGGCTCTGGGAGTGTTTTTTAGACCACACACACTCTTCCTGCTGGCTGAATGGATTTGGGTTCAGTTAAATAGAATTCCTTTTGCTCCTGTTAACCTTCACAAAACCCATGTTGCTGCTTGCAAAGTGCACACGGAGGTGCCAGACTGTCACCATTCAGATGATAATCAACTTTATGCGCTTCCCTGGTCTGACTTGCAGGATTTACCAGACATATGAATAACAGATTTTTCTTAATTGGCAGCTGTTTGGTGTTTGAATAAGCATCTGATGATACTGGACACTTTTTAAACTCCACTGTTCAGGCTGCTGTGTTACACCCTTGGCCCGAGAGAGAGAGAGAGAGAGANNAGCGGCTGGAAGCGAGCCTGTAGGTCGGGGTGAGGGTCCGCCTCACTGGAACCCAACAAGTGACCTTACAATAACAATTCAGCTCCACAGTGGGAAGTGTTTGTCTTGCGCAACCCCTCTTTATAAGCCTCCTTCATTTCTCCAGACCCGCTCTGTTTTTTCTTTTGAGGAGCGAAGTTGTGAAGAGGGATGCCCCCCCCCCACCCCCCACCCCCACCCTCCATCATCCCCCCTTCCTCTTTCATTTTGTGCCACCACAGATGTTCACTCAGTCACGTTAGGTAAGTGAAAATGATGACATCAATTGCTGCTCCTCTTTCAACCCCTCAACAGGAGGAAGCGGTTTTGTTTTCCTGAAGATTTTTTTTTGTGACTTAATGATTCGAGTCATGGGCATCCATCTGCATCCATCTCCAGTCAGCGGGTGCAGAAATAAAAACCTCTCTTCCACTTACTTTCTTCTTCTCCCCTGCGTCTTCTTTGCTTTCTCTAACATTGGTCCTAATTGCATTCTATTACCCTCACTGGTGTTAAGCCACCTTGCTAAATAAACCTACAGGAACATTGCACTTGGCAACCTTTTGTTGTCTTTGGAAAAACCTATTTATATTCTATTTATTTGGACGGGTGGCATTTGAGGATTGTTGCTTAGACTGGAGCAGGTTGTGGAACAAGTTCAACAGTTGTCATTGTGGATGGTTAGTGAATAAAAAAGGTCTGATTTAAACTTGCAGAAACCTTTATTCTGGCCATCTAACTGTACATGTACTATGCCACAGCCTGCTGAATCTGTGCTGCTGTAGCCTCCATCTGACTTGATCAGAATAGCAAATCAGGCAGGCTAGGAGGTACCTGGTTGCATAAACATTGATGATGAGCTTCCTCT